CCTCCTCCTTTTTTTGTGATGGACACGCGACAAATGCATGACTTCTGACAAAGAAATTTCGAAAGTACCGTACCGTATATTATTAAACAGAGACGACCAGTCAGTCTTAGGATACACGACAGTTCACATCGCTATACCCGTTGTTCATTTGCGAGTGGGACACGACTACACACATCAAGAACTATCGGAAAGAGAACAGGGTTTATTTTATTTCTAAACGAAGCTTCAGTGACAACCTTCATGTGAAAATAACTTATTCTTGTGCCTACGTGATTATATGACTTTATGCAGTTGCGAGCGCCGTAAAACCCTTACTGAAAACTAAATTCTTGTGCTTGGTGTTTCTGTGATTCTCTTTCACATTTTTTTTCGCCTCGAATCTCGCTTTCCAAGTGTTGGAAAAGCTACTATTTGAACCAGACATGAGAACGTCAGTGTATACACAGACTGTGAAGGAGACTGGGCTGTCCAAAGCCTCAGAACCAGCTTTACACAACTGTAGTAGTGATGATGATGTGCTTAACACGTTGAAGTCAGACGGATCCTATAATAATATGGACATTGTGTTGCGTAGTCACGTAAGTGCAATGTGTAGTGAAGACGGTGTGTTGTGCACTCCCAGCATTAGAAAAACCTGTAGTGATAGTACGTTGCTTTCATCGAGAGCAAACACAGACTACGAGTGTGAAGCCAGTGGAACATTCCCTTACTGTTCAAATGCATGTGAAGTAGAACAAAACCCCAAACTAGTGAAACAACCCAGCACTGTCAATTTCCATGATGTGTACGAGGCTACGGAACAAAAACTGGGTGAAGGTTCTTATGGATCTGTTTTTACCTACAAAAACCGGGAGTCGGGGGCAGAATGTGCCGTAAAAATCATTGAAGATTGTGATGATGCTAGCCGTCGGAGAGTGTTGAGAGAGGTTGGGTTTTGCCAGCGGTATAGCGAATGTGACAACATCATCAAACTCGTGGATGTCTTTGAGAACGGAGATACTTTTTTCCTAATATTTGACAAAATAGCCGGAGGCGAGCTTACCCGGATTTTGGCATCACGTGAGTGTTTGAGCGAAACCGAGGCATCGCGCGTGACCGGCGCTATTGCCCGTGCGCTCCTCGCTCTCCACAACGACGGAGTGGCACATAGAGATGTTAAACCAGAGAACATCCTTTGTCACATAGAAGGGGAGGTCACCCCACTGGTTCTTTGTGATCTTGGTTTAGCGAGTCACCTCCCATCTCCAAATGATCCCTTGACGGAAGGGGACTCAACGAAGCCTGCTGTGGTGGTATCCGGCGGCGGTTCGCCAGACTATATAGCGCCGGAGATTATCTCTGTGATGTGCGGGCAGTCGACCACACCCTACGACACACACTGTGACCTCTGGAGTCTCGGGGTGCTGCTCTATGAGATGCTCTTCGGAGTTATGCCCTTCAGCCACGGTTGTGAGCAGCACACCGGCTCTATAGAGCTGGAGTGTGAGGACTGCGAGGTCGTCTTGTACAAGGACATCCTCCAAGGGAACTACCACTTTCCCAAAGACGTCGTCGAGTTGTGCTCAGACAGTGCAGTGGACTTGATCCAACGACTTCTGGTCGTTGACCCCCAGGCCCGCTACTCGGCCGCCCAAGTTCTCCAGCATCCTTTCGTGGCCGCTTACGCTAGTGATGTTCTGGTCACTGAACTGTGATTGAAATGGGTACATAATTAAATTATTTATTATCTGACATGACGATCTCATGCATGTAACTGGACTTGTGTCTAGAACAATGGGAAGTCCCACTCTGTGTTTTCGCCCAAATTTGGGACTGGGAGCCTATACGGACATAAACACTGGATCTTATGTAGCTTATTGAAATGGTTTCAAGGAGTGGCGGGTTCGTTTAGTTATGGCTGGCTTTTTACTTAACTGACCGGGTATTTGCAGTTCCGGAAAGTTTTGTCACGACCGACCAACGCCTAGCAGTGTTTTCGTCGCTTTCTCGCTCCTACTCTTGCGAAGATTCAGAACTGTCTCTGTCTCACCCACAGACATACTGGTGGCGGTAGTTGAAGCTCACGCCACAGCACATTAGTGTGCTTCCACCCCCCCCCACACACACACAATTTTGTTTACCTCATACATAGTACATGTATAGTAACACCCTTACAACATTACAAATGCAAAGTGTATAGATCTATAATAATCTATGACTATGACATCACGTAGCGTCCGGCATGTCATGATAACGGACTATCGAATCGATGATGGAGAAGACAATAGTTACCACAAGAATGAGACTCACGAGTCTTTTAATTATAATAAATCAATTCAGATCTTTAAAGTGTTTCTGTTTATTTTTTGGCAACATGTCTCCTTTATTTGAAAGTCTCTTCGTGTTACCCTTCCCTGCTTTTTATACATGTATACCATGACCTGTTCCTCATTGACACACACACACACACACACACACTCACACATTCACACACACACACTGTCTCTCTCTCTCTCT